ATATATATATATATATATATATATATATATATATATATATATATATATATATATATATATATAGAGGGAGGGAGAAAGGAGAGGGAGAAGAGCCTCTCTTTGCGACGATTACCACTCGAGTTGCCGCGAGTTAGATCGATTCGATCGCGCTGACGTTCGAATCATTTCGAGTGCTATTCGAAAGCGAGGCTTTCCGAAAGTCCTAAGAGTCTTTTAGCAGTCTCGAGTGTCTACAGCTCGGCATAATAGACTTATCATTTTCTAGGCTCCCCGGCATTTTTTTCGACGGCAGGCACACGCAGTATGTTCGCGTATTCCTGCATCATGATTGTCGATTATTCCAGGAAATGGCAACGGTATCTCGCGCATTACATCTTATTTTCCGTATGGTTTCACGTTTTACATCACAAACGCCACTTTGCCTGAATAATATATGAAATATCCCCGCTGTTTACTCGACAATCACAATCATGACGCACGAATATGTAGACAAAGTATACGTATGATATATGGAGAGAATATTAATAGTTTTCTTTCGCATAAAATTCCCTTCTATTTCACGTTTTTCTAACAATACTGCAACAAATTGGAGTTTATTTTGCTGCGAAACATAATAAACCTTTCAATAATGGATCTCAATTTCTAAAATTTAAACAGAACTGAATTGAAATGGAAATTAACTAAGGCAGACTGTCGATATGTTCGTCGGTTATAAGATTTTATCGTAGTTTTTCTTATAAAGTTTTCTTCTGTAGAAAAATTTTCCTAATCCTAGATATACCCGACTAGAAATTTATCCTATGATCTTGATCAGGTGGGTTTCAGTTATTTGATAATCAGTTATTTGGTTTGTGTAAGGTAATGTTATCGGATCCTAATAAATCACGCGCACACTCAGAAAAAACATAATAATGGCAACTATATAGATGACTATATCAGTTTTGTGTGCAGAATTATAATGTATATAGTTTAATAAATTATTTTGTAGTGATTACTACTAGAACTTTAGTTGTCATAACTATAAAATATGGTTTATTAAACTGTATATACATTAATTCTAAATATCTCTAATATTATGTTCTAATATTAATATACTATAATTAACCTATATATCTATATTTTAATATTATTATATTAGAATTAATTAAATTAATTAATATATAATTCTACTAATTAATCTATTAATTCTAATATTAAAAAATCTCACATAATCGTCATCTGTACAGTTTCCATTGTCATGTCTCTTTTCTGAGTGCAGCATGGCAATAAGGATTAGTAGGGTCTAGTAACATCATCCTACACAAACTGGGTAAACTGATCGGGATCAACCTGATCGAGACCATGAGATAAATTTCTAGTCGGATAGTAAATGTGAAGGCTACGATATCAATCAATATGGAAGAAAGGTGCGACACTTTTAGCTCAACAGATTGAGAACGCATCAAGTATTCAGAAGGAGAAGTTATTTTTTTCGTAATTCTCCCAAGATAAATTTCTCGATTGGATACGATGCGCGAAACTCATTGAGCAAAAAAGCGTGGCAAGCTTCTCTCCACCATTGAGCAAGCTGATAACAGATACACGGTGAGTTTACGTGTAAATGCACGTACGCGAACTTGGAAAGTTTACCGCAACGGCAATCCGAGACTTCGCCGAGACTTTCAGCGCGCTCGGCAAACTGGCGGAGCATTCGACAAGTTGAGGATTTTCGAGAATCTCTCGCTCCCAATAATACTCGTCGCGCAACATTCCTACGAGTGTTCATCGTCCGTATTATTTTATGCCCGGACAAAATGTCTTTGTGTCTCTGCTTGCGGCTCGCTGTGATTCAAGCATCGTCGTGCGTTCAGCGCTATCGGACTGTTAAATAAACAATCGACCTTTAAACCATTGAGCCCCGATACGTGCATTTGCGTATTCTCGTTGTACCGCCGCGCGCGCGCGCGCTATATGTGATCGACGGCTCAATTATTTTCTCGGGTATCAAAGGCGATATGTATGCCAAAGAGTGTCTCTTTTTATTCCAGCCATTCCATAGTTATGTACGCGTATCGCGCAACAATTTTTGCAACAGCGCAATCTAAATTTCGCCGAGAGTCGTTATCGCCGACCGTCCCGCGTCGATACGCGAGAGCTGAAGCAACAATTGGGAATTTCGCATGAAACAGTTCAGAGTGAAACTAATCTGTTCGCGATAAATTGTTTTTTTTCGCCGTCGCACCCGTCGCACCCATAAAATGCGTCCCGCGTACAAGACCCCATTAGCTTTCAATCGGCCGTTATTTCGCATTAGCATCTCGAGATAGCCACTTGTCCAAGTAATATCCAGCGATAACGTCGTCCAAAACGTGCGAGCGACCGGGTAAAAACGTGCGCTCGCCTTGGGGCAGACCGAGTCGAGTTGGCTCGCACGAAAAGAAAGAATCAGCAGCAAGGATCTGTGTGTGATAGCTACGAGTAAATCTCGTTGCAGCATATGGACGTCCAAGGGTATGGTTGCCAGTAGGCATATGGAATCAAGAAACCAACGTAATAGCAATAGTACTATCAAAAAATTTGTTTTCATTGCAGCAGCATAATTTTAGCTGAAGCAATAAATACATTTTTAGCGAACCGTGATTAACTGCGGCAGAGAAATCTTTTTTTCCGTGCAGGAGTCACGCTGGCTATGCGTTTCGTTTGCGTATTTATTGCGAGAGAAACAGTAGAAGAGGGATCGAGTATGTTCCTGTTGCAACATGAAAAAAGTACTTGTGTTGTGAAAAGGAATCGCAAAATGTTCTTTCTCAGAACACAAGTACTTTTCCTACACAGAAAGAAGGATTTGCTGCAGCAGCAAACTAATTTGCTATGTACGGGCAGTTAAACATAATTCGCTGTGTTAGCTACTTTTTCTTTGCAGCAGGAATCTATTTCCTTGCTATGATAACAAAAAAATCTGCTCGTACAGCAAGAAAAGTGGCTAACATAGCAAATTTGCTACAGATGGACGATTAAATATAATTTATTGTTTTAGCTACTTTTTTTATTGCAAGAGCAGATTTTTTGTTATCATAACAAGGAAATTGGCTCCTGCAGCAAAGAAAAAATGGCTAATACAGCAAATTATGTTTAGTTGTCCATATCTTTTTTCCGTGTATATGGAAAAAAATAATTTGCTGCAGCAGCAAACTACTGAAAAATTTCTGTTGAGATAACAATAGAATTCCCAATTCAATTCTCAGTTGAATTCTCAATTGGATTCTCAAATGCAGTTTTCGCAAAAATTCGCATAAGTAAAATATCTCAATTGAAATATTAATTAAGTAAAATATCTCAATTGAAATATTTGTATCTGATGGAAATAATTTATTGAAAATATAATGAACTTTTGCTGAAATGTGTTTGAAAAGCATTCACAATTTTGACCCAATTTCATTAAAATTTCATTATAATTTCATTAATATTTCAGTAATATTTTAGTAAAAATGTAGAGAAATTCAGTGAAAAATCATTATTAATTAAAATAGATTGAGAAAAGTATAATGAAGTATTATTTTGTCTAAATAATATTAGGTGTACAACTTTGCTTCCGCCGTTTTCCTATAGATGGCTTTAGCGGTAAGTAGTGGTCGAAATAAATAGATCATAGACGTCATGCAATAAACTTGGGCAATAAAATCTGTCAACATAACCTCATAGAAACATTAGTCGATTTGTGTCTGCATCATAAAGTTATTCTCGATTGAAAATGTCAGTTTACGAGCCAAATTCTCGTCATTTGCGGGAGGTTTTAATTTTCTGCTTCAATATGAAGAAATCTGCGGTTGAGGCTCATCGAATGC